GACTTATAGAATATTTTTAATTTTTAACAAATTGATGTTTTTATTTTTTAAATATAAAACATTGATTTTGAATAAAATGTTTTTAAAATAAATAAAAACAGATATTAAATATTCCTTATTATAAAGTATGAATTTTTAAATTGGTAATCATAAAAAAATTATTATGATAATCTTCCCATTAAAATAAGAAATTAATAGTTTTATTTCTCAAAAAAAAAATCAAAAACAAATAATTTTTAGAGATTCATTATCAATTGTATTATAAAAATGATTTTAATTGAAATTCACAAATAAAAATTCGATTGAATCTTTTTCTTATCAAATTGATTGTTAATAATTCAATGAAAGAATGATATATTAATTAATGTAGTAACAAATTAATGGTGAATGTAATAACATTGAGTGACATGAATTGAATGAAAAAATTTTCACATCAGTAAAATTAATTAATTTATTATTATCGAATGACTTAATTTTGACTATTAAATAATCATGTAAAAAATATTAAACCATGTCATCACATATTATTGCACCTCAAATTTCCTTGAAAGGGGTGTTTTGTTTTCTGCAGGTTACGCGGGTGAAGCTGAGTTAGCGACGGACTCACCATCAACCCTCATTATGATAAATATTGTCACGTGAATGATAAAGTAAAACGAGATTTCCCTTCGAATTTGTAGAGCGTGATGTTTATTTTCGATAATTGGTGTTTTATAAGTTTAGTTTAAATGTATTTACAGTAAGGGGACTATAACTAAAATCAAAATAAATTAAAGTGTCCTTCATTACTGCCTGACGTCGTTCCTGTAACGTGCGGTGAAAACTCGCATTAATAACGAGATCAACATAGCAATGCAATACTAATATCATATTAACGTAAAAGATTGTTCATTTAATCAGGGAATTGACATCATTCACGATCTAATGCAATTACAAAATCCTTACCTCCATTCACGTAATCAGCATTGCAATTCTCTTTCTTTCTTTCCTTCGCAGGCATCCAATGAGTGTGACATCTCAGATTCTCCGATTTCTTAGACATACTTATTATATAAATGGATCAAGGTTCTCGCATTGATCGATTCTACATAATTTCTTTTTCGTAAAAGTGTCGCAAGAAAAAAAATGGAGGTTCGTTTGTCTTCTAATTAGTTGTTACACTCTGAGAACGGTTTATGCCATTAGCTTATCTTCATATGCTATTATCATAAATCAGGATTCGGGTTTAATTGGACTTGCAGACAACGATCCAAGAAACGCTGCTTATTATTTTCTTCCCACCCCACCTCAAACACCGATGTTTGAGAGTGGAGGTCAAAGTGGTGATGACTTTGCCCTATATCAACCAATGGTCCAGGATGACCACATGAATAGGCTCCGGGAGGTCGAATTCAACAACAGTTCGATGTATCGCGGAAGTCAGTGTCCCCAACAATCACCATCTTGGCATCAGACATCCTACATTGATGCGGACAAAAGGAAATATCATTTTCAACAGGATTATCTAAAGTACCGAAATAAGTCCGCCTCACAAAATTCGTCACCTCAAGAATCAATTTCGGCCTCCGATATTAAATGTCAACCTCCAAACAAATTTATTTCCTACAATTTTCACAATAAATCTAACCGACGAATGCCGTTTCCGTACCTCTCTCTCGGAAATCAGAATCACCATTCTTATCGAATTTTCTATCCTCCACATTTACATTCTCTCGAACAACGACCATATCGACAGGTTACATTTCCAAAACCAGAGTATTTAATGCCAATGCCCCAGTGCCAGCCCTATTCGGGGAATCAAGATGAATATCAACCGCGTATGACATATCAACAAAGAAGTCACAATAGCCTTCAGCATGTTACATGTCAGTCGAAACTTCAAATTATTTACGACTCACATTCCAAGCAATCCCCTAAACCACATGCACGTGAAAATAAACAACTTACCGAAGACGGAACTCGAATGCAAAGTAAGAATGAATTGGATTGTCTTCCTTATCCTTCGAGTTACATCAGAGGATGGCAGACCAAATATCCGTGCGCCCAAGTACACCTCGTGAAGATTCAGTTCGGTGATTATTGTGAATATAATATCGATAAAAAAATCGGCAACATCGACACCACAAATAATGATGAAAATGGTAATAATCCCGATGTTAATTATTCCTCGTGTAACATCGGTGACCCCTACAACGAAGATTACTTAACTCAGGTTACGAGGATTCAGAAGGACCGAGATGAAGGCGGTGATCAAATAGAGATCAGCGATCGTAGATATGGACCACCAAAATTTAGATATAGATACATGGAGGAATCAATTCAATTATGTCTTTTGCAGAATGCTCAAATCAAGGTCCCTCTAAGGTCTTTGAGGTCGATAGAGAAAAGTGATGAGAGAGTCTTCAGGTTGGAATTGAAGAATGACTCGGTCGCAAGGGATAAGGTAAAAAAGGGAAGGAGAAGGAGAAGAAAGAAGGAAAAAAAAAAAAAAAAAGGATTTTTGTTTCTCAGCTAATGTAATGGGTCGTGCTCGCGAAAGAATCTCGGTTGATCTGGATGAACTTGCAAATGAATCCCTTTTTTTTTTTACTCTCCAATTTCTTTCTTTCTTTTTTTGAAATGAAATTTTAATAGATTACTTGTCACTTTGATTATCATTACCCAACTCGTAAGCAAACATTAATCGATGAAAGCAAAAGTGAGTTAGGTTTATTTCCGATATTGCACATTGAGTTGTATGAATAGTCTAGGAAGAACTGTGGTTGATATCCGCGTAATATCCTTCTACTGACGTTAGAGAATGCGAAATATATCACGATGATAACTCACAGGGGGGTTGTCGAAAAGGAGCTTGATATCATCGGATTGCATATCGATTATCTCGTCAAAATGTTGAACGCGGATAATCACCATGATCCAATCTTTTTGAGATGGAGGGCCGTCGATTGGGGTTCTCGGGCACAGCAGAACTGGCGTTCACATTCATCAGCCGAAAAGCACAAAGAAGAATTCAAATTTCAAAAGGTAGCATAGGATGATAGATAATCTTTATTAACCAGATTTTCTTTCGTTGATTTGACATTCAAAAAAAAAAAAAGAAAAGAAAAGAAACGTTCCTATCATCCATTCATTTCTATTTTATTGTGCAGAAGGAATGGATCATCAAGTGTCATGTGGATGGGAATATACGAATCTTTCGCTTTGAGTCTTCAACAAACTTCCGAACGGTCAAGGAGACGATCCAAGAAGCTTGCCAGCTGCCCCTGACGCCCATCTTCGAATATAAAGATGATCTCGGAAATTTTATCACGATTTCCGGTGAAGACGAATTCCATCGGTGTTTCGCCGAGAAAACCACGACGGAGGTCTGGTGTACTAATGAGGAGGCATGACTCTAAACGAACGAGAGGTCAAAGCTAGCTGGTGTGAAGTTGGGGAATCCGTTGCGTAGAAGTTGACGATGCGGTGTTGCTCGGTGATTGGTCGAGCATCGCGACATACATGTATTTGCGGAAAAGCACGAGGTTGGGTGTGATTTACAGAATCTAATTTATAGATGCATATTTCTTTGGAAACACAAAGCGGTTTAGACTACTCCGTCACGTAAATTTATGCGTCCAAAGTTTAATGACGCGAGAATTCCAGGTAAATGACGACATGCTTCTTATTTCAAGTGCCTTCCCAAACGGTAGGGTTGGCTACACATCTACAATATTATTTTATGTTGCCTATTATTTACAGTAAGTTTCACCGCATTTTCCACAATACTTTGACTTCCAAAAATGGACATAAATATTAATTCTTTTAATGGCGAAATCTGTAAATATTTCGACGTCATCTTCCGCCTATATTGTGTCGACTCAAAACGTGCTCAATTTCCAATTATGTTTGCGAATGTGCACATAATTTATTTGGGTGACCGTGACATTAAAAAAAATTTCAAAGTCTTGACAACGGGACTTCCGCGCGACAACATTCTGGTCTTCAGTTCGAATAAATTAAATATGTCGATATTTGAAACCGCATTGGATGGTGCCAGTCTGTTCACTTGTTTCCGGAATGCATATTTTATCGTTGGCGTACAAGATCGATCTTTTAAAAATGGTACGATCGTCGCCTCCTGTGACACAGTTAACCGTGTTACACTAATTGTGTGCAAAGAATTTACCATGTCGAATTCGAAAAGTCATTTTATGGTGTGATTTTAGAGCCCAATTTGCCACCATAGTGGTGAAATTTCAACAGAAGCGGATTGGACGAAAGTCGTGCGACTTCTCAGGTTTCATGCTCAAAGCAGATAAATTGTAATCCAAACGCGTACGTAAGTAATTTGACATTAGGGTCATTTTAAGCTAACCGCAGGTCAATCTCTAATACTACGATGCTTATCTTCTATTTACTTATCAACCATCATTTTTTATTATGCGTCGGGAGCATTTTCTTAACTATATTAATATAAACAAAAAACTTCGAGTATGACAAATCGCACATGTCGTACCTTCGGACAAATTAAAAGAATTGGGTTTGCTTTATGATATTCAGGAAATAAATAGCATTACATCTAACTACAGAATTCATACGAGATTGGGAAAGTCAAATAATATTCTGTATATATTATGAGGTCTCACACAAGAATCTCATTGTTCGAAGGTTCTTTTCTCTAGAAAACGGTGAACCACTCGAAATTCGTTAGAGGAAACAATGTCTTCAAGCTACAACCATCGTCCCTCCTCGTTCAACCCATACTTCTCAAATCACAACAACGTCGTATCACGTGAAATGGCTCCAGCGGACATGGCCGACAATGATATGGCACTTTGGTCAAACGCACAATTCACTCTCGACTCTTCTCCTGGTCTGCGGTTATTGGAAGACGATTCTTTGGTTCCCCCCTTGCCTTCAGAAGATTGCGATCCAGCTTCCGGACGAAAAGTTTTCCAACAACCTCTCGCCAAACCACTAAACGTCAACCAAATGTCGGCGGCTAGTGGTCTCACGCCGTTTTTACCTCAAGCCACCATGCCAAATCCCGGAGTCACCATGTCTCCATCACCCTCGAATCCCCTTCAGGCATCAGATGTCAACAATTTTCCCGCAATCTACCCATCTCCCGCTTCGTCGCAAAGGACATTGCACTCAAATAGGATGAGTGAAGAATTATTGCAAGGACAACTTTCAAATCCACAACCCATAATTATCAATTCTACAACCCAACAAACTTCCCCAATACTTCAAAATCCCTCAACTTTGGACATTACACCTCTACAAAGTGGCTTGTTGACACCGCCAATGACAATGATAGGACATAACTATTATGACTATTCACACATGATGGATCCGAACTATGTTTGTCAACTTCTAGCGGAAGAGGATAAAAGGCGTCGCAACACTGCTGCCTCGGCAAGGTTTCGAGTGAAGAAGAAGTTGCGGGAGCAAGCCCTCGAGAGAGCCTCTCGAGACATGACGACAAAAGCCGAGTTACTTGAAAATAAAGTTCGGGAACTTGAAAAGGAGATCCAATGGTTGAGAAGTTTGTTAACTGAAAAAGATCCTCGGCTTTTAGAAATTGCACGGCCGGACAAGCAACAGGACGATGATCAAGATTGAATATGAAAGTTCGAGAAAAATCCTTCCAAAACTCAACACTCTTTTGAATTTTTTTTTTTTTTCGTTTAAGATGCATTTTTATTTCATTTTTATGTATAATCAGAAATTATCATAAGCTCTCGTATATAGTCGGTTTTTCTCCCTCCCATGGATTTCGTTTAATTTCCAATCACCCGACGCGTCGTTCGTAATTCAAAAATCACGTGCGAAATTCGAATTTCGCGTGTTTTAAAAAACCCCATGTTTTATTGTTATTATTACTTGATTAAGCAAACATGCAAGCAACCCCACTCTAAGATAACTATTTTAAGGAACAAACCAACCGACCAAACAACCATATACTGTATATACACATATCATGGTTTGTGTCGGATCTCAAGATTTTGTTGGTTATTATTATTATTTTTTTTTTTTAATATAATACATTACTTTGAGAATTCTTAAGACAATCAAATAAACACACATTGTATAAACTGCACGTCGACACTGGTTTTTCTATTTGGGTTGAAGTTTGGTGTCATGTTTACATAAACAACTTGAACAAGTTTTCTGTGTGTGTAATCGTAAGGAAAATAAGCTCATTTGAAAAAACTGTAAGTTAATTTGACGCGACAATGATGTTTATATATGATCAATCGGATGAAATCTCCCAAAGCAATAGATACTGCATGTGTATTGTTTTTAAAATCCTATATGTCAGGTTGGTTGCCGTACATGTGCTTTATTAAACATTTGTAAATTAATTATACATAATTTTACATATCAATAAAGTTAATACTCTAGTTCACTCTCTCATCTTAGTTTAAACAAATTTTAAGTACAACTTTGAAAGTAGTTTATTACTTCATTAATAATTTAGGTAAAAACCCCTTCCAACTATCAACATTACAATATATATTGTAATAAAAACCATAAATATATTAAAAAAAAATTTTTTTTTAATAATATCAATATCATAATATTTAGTTCAAAATAATTTTATTTATCAATATTAAACAATAATTATATTTCAATTACATTAAACATAAACATAAGATAAAAGTAAACTAGTATATGAATTTTTATTTTTAAACTTAACAATAACAAAATTCTTTATATATAACCTAATTATAAACTTTTTTAATAATAATATTAATAAATGATAAAAAATTAAATAATAATTTAAAATGAGACTTAAATAAAGACTTGTTATTTAAATAAGCAAAATATAACTATTTTCATAAAAATTGTAATAATAAAACAATAAAAATTTTTATTGATTTTTTGATTTCATATAAAAATATTTTTTATAAGAAATTTTAATATCTTTTAATCAATAAAATCTTTTACTTTTTTTAAATCAATTTGAAAAAATATTCTCAAAAATTATTTTTGATTCCATTCTTTTTATTTATAATGCTTTTTAATAAAAACTTACTTTTTATATCTTAAATAAAATAAGTATCAATTTTCTTATCAGTAATCAAAAAGTTTTTAAAAAATTTGTCCTAATATATTATTATTTTTTATTTAATAAAAAAATATTACCATATAGGAGATCTTATTATTTTTAAATTTTTTTAAAAAATTTTCTTTGTTTTAATTTGATCTTAAATTTTGAATAATAAAAATTTTTAAATAAAAATTGATTTATAAAAAATATATTAATAAAAATATATATAGTAGGTAACAAAAAAATTTGTCTTTTTTTATATTTATGGATCTATAGCATAGTGGTAATGCACATAAGTTATAATCACAAGATCCAAAGTTCAATAACATATGAGAACCAAGTGAAAATTAAGTCACGAATAATAAAAAGATCTTATTTTTTTTATAATGATAATTAGTATTACAATAAAGCAATAATATGAACCTATCAATTTATCATGTCTATAGTAGAATAAGCAAAATTACAATATAAGGTTCTATATGAGACTAGAATAAGTGATACAAGTTCTTAACATAAAACTAGTTTCTAAATATTCCAATAAGAAATAAAAAGAAAAACATATTCATTTATTATACCATAACAAGACAAGATACAAATACAAATTTCAAACAAGACTAACATAAGTGATAAGAAGTCTTTATATGAAATTGATTATCCAGTAAAAATATAAGAAGAAGGATCCAATAACTTATAGAAATAATTAAACATGCTCATAATATGATGTAATTTTGTTTAATATAAAATGAAAGATATAAAATAGGTTTCAAATAGAAACAAAAAACTGAGTGATATAATATCCTTGATATAAGACTAAGCTTTAATTAAGTAACAAGATAGATCGAGATATAAGATAAGTTTTCAGAAAAACTTTAAATATTAATGAAGTCAAGGAAAAAAATTTTTGTATAAAAGACACTCAATATTAGTGGTATTAAATATCTTAAATAAGTTCTTAATATATTAGTTTCCTTAATAGAAATAATAACAAGTTATTCAGTGAATCAAGGTCCTAGGAAATATTATTTTAGTAATATATAAATTTAAAATAGTGGGATCATTTTATCAAATTGAATGTATAAACTTTTCAAATTCTTTAGTTTAATTAAAATTAAAAAACAGTTTTACATTAAATGATTATATAGTTATCTTATCTAGTTAAGTGAGATGTAAATAAAAATCTATTGTACTATTTATTGATCTATAAATTCTTAGACAGTACAGATAATTATATATTCTGATTGTCTCTAAAACATATCTTGATTATAATAAAGTTTCTAAACTGGCATAGAAATAAGCTAGTGTTTAAAAAATTTTTTTTTAATTTTTTTTAATTATATTTAACTTAATAAAAAATTATTTAAATTAAATTAAGCTTAAAATATAAATATTTAAATATCTAAAATTTAATTTTATTTAAAACTATTTTATAACTTTTATTATTATTATTATTTTATATTTTTATTTTAATTAAAAAATTTTATATTATATACAAATTTTACAAACTATATATATAAATTTAACTTTTAAATATAGTTTTTTTTTTATTTAATCCACAATTATTATTAGTTGAAGGACTATACTACTTAAAAAATATAAAAAGTTTATTAAACTAATTCAAACTAAATAAAACTAAGTTTAAACTAAATACTTTAAATCAAATTTAGATGATAATATTATATTCTCCTACTAGCTTGGTATAGTATCTTCAAGTTAACCAGGATTATTGACAACAGTTTGTTACTATTGATTATTCTAAAAAACAATAAATTGCTAAAGTATAGTACTGGAAAAAGAAAAAAAAATATATAATTCAAAGCTCTTTAAAAGGTTCTTGTTTCATTTTATGGTTTTCTTTTAAAGGGGATTTGTTTGATTGGGATATTCTTGAAGCTTTATGATATTTGAGAAACTTAATTATTCCTGAAAGTAACTTCAAGAAAAATATTTGAAAAACTTATCCTTTTGTTAATGTATGAGTTTGCTTAACACTATTGGAGCTAGTACTATATTATAGAAGAGTTTGTTTAACTAAAATAAAGAAATCTTTTCAAAAACTTTGCTTGATTAAAATAGAAGTTTGGAAACCTCAGCTTTTGTTCAAGAAAGTTTTTTTACTACTTAAGGAACTTAATAAGAGATAGAAGTCAAATCTATTTGCTTACCTGTCACTTACTTTTAATATTATAATTGTTTTCTGAAGATTAAATATATATAGATGAAGGGAACACTTTTTCTAGAACTTTCTTTTCTATATTATAAATAATGTAATGAGACACATAAGTGTGACCAATAGAAGCTTGTTTATATTTCAAAAACTAATATATTTTATATCAACCAATCATCTTTGATAAAAATTTGTATTACCCAAAATTTAGGATCAAACTGAGATAGGCAAAGTTCCTTAGAAAACTGTGAAAGTAGGAGTTTTAAGAGAATCAAAATAGTTCAAAAGAGAGAAAATAAGTATTTTAACTGTAACAAACCTTTATAAACCTTGTTTTAAAGATTAGAAAGGCCTTCAGGTACTTTATAACCAGTTCATCTTCTTTTAAAAACTTTCTTGCTATTGGTATCAAAGGTGTTACTTGACTTTTTTTGATTATTAGAAGTCAAGTTTTTGAATAAAGAGATTTATAGACAATAAGAAAAGGATAGTAGTGACTTTTGAAATAATACTTCAAGTTATTTTAAAAATAATATTAAAACTTTATTAGCAAGAAAGTATAAAAACTTCTTGCAAATAAAAAAAAAAAACTCTTTCCACTGATTCCCTTTTTCCTAATAATTTCCTTATTCATTAATTTTTTTGAAAAAGAGAAGCCAGCCTCAAAAGCACTTTATCCTTTAAAGATTTAGGACTTAACAACAAACTATAACAGTCAACCATCTTCCCAAAGCTCCCCTTATCGATCAAGAGAAGTATAGGCAACACAGCATCATACTAGCTTTACTTTACAAGGG